TTTTGCCCAAGCAAGTCTTTTTTCGACGTGTTTTTCAGACAGCAACGGTTTCGTTATCGTGCTTCGAAATTTCACTTTATGAGCCAGTAAACGTCTTCTTATAGTATGACATGATATATTTAGACCCTTTTTAAGTAAAACCGCTTGCCCGCCACGCAATGATAAACAAGGATTCTTCTCAAACACCCGTAAAATCATTTTGTCCTCCTTTTTCGTCGTTTTCTGCACAGAGCCACGATCCGGCAAGTCATCAACGTTTTTGACCTCGGAATAACGTTTCACCCACTTACTCACAAACGCCTTAGACTTCTTCATATACTTAGCAGCCGCTCCGCGCGACATTTTTGGTCCTTTCAGATGCGAACATAGAAACACAGCTTCGTAACGTGATGCGTACGCGGCACTCATGTTGAAATACGTCCTTTTGTGACGAAAGTCAAACGATAACTAAGGCTTTCTAGACAAAGTATCTTGGAAGAAGAGCCCCGCTATTGGCTCGCGTTCATATCCCCCCTCTAACGGTTTCGAAAAAAAAGTTTTGCCGTACACGCTCTTATCAAACATACTGTAAGTCTTAATGTTAATTCTGCTATCAGTCAGCTATATGTGAGCAGATGCATTGATACAACAACAAGAGCTTTAAATCAACCAAATAATAAATAAACCATAATCAACCATATAATAAATAAAATTAAGTAGATGGGTTAAATACTCTTCAACTTTAACAGAAGTTAGATCGATAAGAGGTAGGTAAATATTTTTTTAATATACAAGGTATCTAACGCAAAACACGGCAACACTATTTACAGATGAAATATGTAAAACAAAAAGTACTCTATCATTTCTCGAAGAAATACATAATATTCTGAGGTATTAATAGAAGAAGATTAGCGAATCAATACATGTAATATGATAGAAAGAACTGTATAACTGGACTTTCATTCAAGATATCTGAATCTTTTGACAATATTTTGGTATCAGTGATAGTGCAAAACTAAACATTGCAAATGTATATTATAAGACTGTCCAGTAGTATATATTGTTCGCCGTTTTCAAAAAGTTGTCAATATGTTGAGACACTTTGAAGGAAACTTAAACTGAAGAGTCGCCTTACCAGATTGTGCACATTGATTCGCAAATGTTTTTCTATTAATCTTCGGATTTTACGTCGTGGTTGTTTGCAAAATGATTTTGTTTGGTGTGCTTTATCTACATATGAATCTATTGTGTTTTGCGTCAGATATTCTGTATATATGAAATTTTCTCTGTGGAAGAGTTTGATGAGCTATATTAATCGATATCTTTTTCAATAAAATTTATTAAATTATTTTATACAGATTTTGGGAAAAATATGATTTTCCTGGAATTATAGGACGCATAGATTGTACTCACGTGGCAATAGTGACAATAGTTGCACCTCCCAAGCATCATCCACAATTTCCGGAACATATTTATGTGAATAGAAAAGGTTATCACTCAATTAATGTACAACTAATAAGTTATTAATGTATAAATATCATT